CCCCAAAACCCCAAAACCCCAAAACCCCAAAACCCCAAAACCCCAAAACCCCGAGTTTAGGTCCTGAAATTGAAGATTTCAACGTTAAAATATTTAACTAAAGTTATTAATTTTCGAAGCGCTGTAATGGTGACGAAATAACAGTTTACAAATTTGCTTGTCTAAAACTGATCCTTAAACTTCTAGATCTTTAGAGCCTATGAATCAATACTCCAACTTACATTCTGAGATTGATTTGATTATTCTAAACAAAGGAGTTGTATTTTTAAGAAGGTTTTAACCTCGAAAAATCTATAAAATCTCTATCGAGCAAACTCTTATCGGGTGATGAAGATAAATATGAAATGGATCAGACAGCCAGAAGAAGTCTTACGGGTTGGAGAGAGTCATACGCATCTTGTTCTTTTCCTACTATGTCAGTAAATTATTTGAGGCAAATAACCACCCTTGCTTATTGTAATAAGTTTGGAAATAGAGTCAACAAGGTTCTTTTAGACACCCCAAGTTCTTGATAATTATTTTTCATTATTAATAGGTTTTTATGCAGAGCCATTGATGAGCTTCTGAATCCTAACTGTCTCAGAATTGTTATAAAATTAATACAAGACGTTGGAATTGAGATAAAGCTAGACAAGCTCCAGACTAAGCAGGCTGAAGACTCAGTCTTAAAGCCTCTAAATATTTAAAAACTTGGCTGAGCATACATCTTGCCATTATTCCTTACTCTCACCGCTTCTGCGGCTTGCTATCGTAATAAGCATTCACTCTTTATAGGATTATAATTTAAGAATTTATAACTCAGGGCTTTTTAACCAATGAAGTAAAAACTCACCTAGAAGGGTTCTCACAAAACACTTTACTTTATGTCTGAATTTACCTAATCTTGTTATTTACTTTTGAAAATATTAGAAATTTTCCCTTAACACCTCTTCTACTAAATATGTCAGGAAATGGAGTTGTTAAGACACATAGGTTAGAAAAGCAAGCAAGAAAGAGACTGATACTTAGAGTAGCCTCAATGTTATAGGAAATAGGTTAAAGCTATACAGACTTTATTTGGAGATAGAAATCCTCCTCTCAAGAGGATAAGGGTATCTACATATCCTAGTAAGCATTTCGAATAAATTTTAAAATTCTAAAAGGAGTTTAATAATTTCTATCAAGTCTTCACCTATTTTACTGGTTCGATTAGAACCAAGGCAAGTGCTTATGTAGATAATAATACAATTATTCTACTCAAGAGACTGGATTTGTAAGTGTAAGAGCCAATCCTGGTCCCAGACTCCTGGTTATCACCAGTTTATATCTTCTAGTAATGTATACTTACTGTTTGGGATCATTTCTGCTATTTGTACACCAGTTAGAAAATACTCTAAACTCGGCTTTTAGCTGTATTAGTTCAATGAGAGCGTACAAAAATAGAGATAATTTGTCATAAAGATATTTAAAATTAATTAATTAGGAGCTTAAGAAGTTTTTGAGAAGAAAGCTTGCTCATCTCCTTGTGATTTCCATAGTTTATTCTCTTAATATTCTCACTCCTGTTAAATTTTGAAAGCTGAATTTTTCTAAACTTTTGTCCAAGTGATTCTGCAACATCAGGAAGTGAATTCTTCCATAATGGGTTCCTTTTGTGATGGGTGTTTGTTTCAACGTCTTCTTTGTCAAACTCTTCACCATTAGGGCTTCTTATTAAGAGCTTATTCTTCTGAAAGACTCGAAGAGTACCCAGATGTGTAGAGAAAGCTTTGCTTCCCATATTATCATTGATTTTATCTGACTTTAGTGGCAAGTTTGGGATACTACAGTGTTCATCATCCAAAATATCTCATTGAGATGAACTCCACATGCTTGGTGTGGTTTTCTCTATTTTATTTAAATCCATTATAAAAATAATTCAGGGAATCTCTTTATATTGGGGTTTTGGGGTTTTGGGGTTTTGGGGTTTTGGGGTTTTGGGG